GTAGTAACAACACTGGATCAGTAAGAGATGATCCTTACTGGACTTCTAAGAAGAACAGTTTAGAACTAATAGAACTATCCAGTATTAATAAAGTTAGTTGAGTTTAGGTTTCCTCCTGTAGTAACAACACTGGATCAGTAAGAGATGATCCTTACTGGACTTCTAAGAAGAACAGTTTAGAACTAATAGAACTATCCAGTATTAATAAAGTTAGTTGAGTTTAGGTTTCCTCCTGTAGTAACAACACTGGATCAGTAAGAGATGATCTTACTGGACTTCTAGGAAGAACAGTTTAGAACTGATAGAGCTATCCAGTATTAATAAAGTTAGTTTAGTTTAGGTTTCCTCCTGTAGTAACACTGGGTCAGTAAGAGATGATCTTACTGGACTTCTAGGAAGAACAGTTTAGAACTGATAGAGCTATCCAGTATTAATAAAGTTAGTTTAGTTTAGGTTTCCTCCTGTAGTAACACTGGGTCAGTAAGAGATGATCTTACTGGACTTCTAGGAAGAACAGTTTAGAACTAATAGAACTATCCAGTATTAATAAAGTTAGTTGAGTTTAGGTTTCCTCCTGTAGTAACAACACTGGATCAGTAAGAGATGATCCTTACTGGACTTCTAAGAAGAACAGTTTAGAACTAATAGAACTATCCAGTATTAATAAAGTTAGTTGAGTTTAGGTTTCCTGCTGTAATAACACTGGGTCAATAAGAGATGACTCTTACTGGACTTCTAGGAAGAACAACTTAGAACTGATAGAGATATCCAGTATAAATAAAGTTAGTTTAGTTTAGGTTTCCTCCTGTAGTAACACTGGGTCAATAAGAGATGACTCTTACTGGACTTCTAGGAAGAACAACTTAGAACTGATAGAGATATCCAGTATAAATAAAGTTAGTTTAGTTTAGGTTTCCTCCTGTAGTAACACTGGGTCAATAAGAGATGATCCTTACTGGACTTCTAGGAAGAACTGTTTAGAACTGATAGAACTATCCAGTATAATTAAAGTTAATTTAATTGTTTAGAACTGATAGAACTATCCAGTATAATTAAAGTTAATTTAATTCTAAACTGCGTTTGTAACAATGTATTTCTGTGACATTTCAGAGGCTGAAGATGCGATGATGGGTCGTCATAAACTCTTGACAGTCTCGTGGAGGCAGTACACTGCTCCCAAAGAACGTCATCTTGAAGCTGACGAAACGGACGCTGAACTGCGCATGTCTCCTGGGTGGAAATTTGTTGACGAAATCAAACAAGTATTTGAAAAGATTCGTGCGATTGAGAACGATCTTGGGGCACCAGAACTTCACGGAGGAGACTATGAAGATTTCTCGAAACAGGAAGATAAGATCAAGGTGAGATCCCACGTTTGAGATATCTTTTCAGGTAATTCAGACACAAACCACGACAGCTTATTGTAGAATACTACCTACACTGGACCACCACGTTTGAGATATCTTTTTCAGGTAGTTCAGACACAAATCACGACAGCTTATTGTAGAATACTACCAACACTGGACCACCACGTTTGAGATATCTTTTTCAGGTAGTTCAGGCACAAATCACGACAGCTTATTGTAGAATACTACCTACACTGGACCACCACGTTTGAGATATCTTCTTCAGATAGTTCAGACACAAACCACGGCAGCTTATTGTAGAATACTACCTACACTGAACCACCACGTTTGAGATATCTTTTTCAGGTAGTTCAGACACAAACCACGGCAGCTTATTGTAGAATACTACCTACACTGGACCACCACGTTTGAGATATCTTTTTCAGGTACAGTAGTTCAGACACAAACCACAGCAGCTTATTGTAGAATACTACCTACACTGGACCATCACGTTTGAGATATCTTTTTCAGGTACTTCAGACACAAACCACGACAGCTTATTGTAGAATACTACCTACACTGGACCACCACGTTTGAGATATCTTTTTCAGGTAGTTCAGACACAAACCACGACAGCTTATTGTAGAATACTACCTACACTGGACCACCACGTTTGAGATATCTTTTTCAGGTAGTTCAGACACAAACCACGACAGCTTATTACAGAATGCTACCTGCACCGGACCCACGAAGTTAATTAAAGATAATTTTTTCTATTCGCAGAAAATTGGCGAGGCTATCGATCACCTTCGCCCAGAAGTGGACTCCGTGTTTGATCGCAGTGAAAGCGCTGTACAAGACTGTTCGGGCAAGGAAGCCGAAGCTATTGAACAAGCTCTTGATAAGGTAATAGAAGCTTAGTTTAGAATTGTAAGTTTGATATCGTCTGCACACAACGAGTTGATGACAACAAGCACGTAGCAACTTGTTACGAACAGCCTATATTAGTCTTGTTGGAACAACTTATAGCAAGTCTGTTGCCGTCATCAACCTTGTAACAAGGTGATAACAACTTGTTCCAGACTTGTCACAACAACTGGGAACAAGCAGTGCGAACACATCCTGATATGGGCTTCACAATAACCTTGTTACAACATTTAAGAAATCCTTGAGGGTAACTGCATGCATAACACAGGTTAGTCTGTTTCTTAATCTTGTGTTTATCTCAGGTTCAATCTCGCTGGAGTAAGTTGAACAGAGAATACAAATCAAGAAAAGGTCGCTGGGAGAATGCCGTGGCTGTCTGGCAACGTTTCCATAAAGATATCAAAGATCTTACATTGTGGATTAATAATGCCGAGAAAGTTATCAGAGAGACGAAACTGCCCACAGGTGATCTGGATATTGATAAAGCTAAACAGGAACAAGGGGTAAGTATTCAATTTATGAACTCTATTGTCAAAATAGAATTTTTAGATTTTTTTCCAGGGACTTGTTTCTCTTCTTAGAGCAAGGAGTAGTGATTAAGTTTATAAATTATAATGGTTAATTAGAATGTTAGGGTTTGTAATCCAAGTGAGAATATATACATTTTAAGACCTAACCAGGAACGACTGCGAAAAATGCAGCACAAGGTCCTCTGGTAGGAATTGAACCTACGGCCCTGCGATTCCGGTGCAGCGCTCTAACCAACTGAGCTACAGAGGCCAGCTGTTAAGCTGTAACCATAAGTTCATGTATATATAGGTAATCGGGTGTGCGGGTTGTGATAAGGTGGACTTCAATGATTTTGGATTCTTGCACTTCACTTGGTGGAATTAATATTAGAATGTTAGGGTTTGTAATCCAAGTGAAGTCCACCTTATCACAACCCGCACACCCGATTACCTATATATACATGCACTTATGGTTACAGCTCAACAGCTGGCCTCTGTAGCTCAGTTGGTTAGAGCGCTGCACCGGAATCGCAGGGCCGTAGGTTCAATTCCTACCAGAGGACCTTGTGCTGCATTTTTGGCAGTCGTTCCTGGTCAGGTCTTAAAATGTATATATTCTCACTTGGATTACAAACCCTAACATTCTAATATTAATTCCACCAAGTGAAGTGCAAGAATCCAAAATAATGGTTAATTACCTTGTGGAATTCGATCTAATCTCAAAAGGGGTCATCAAACTAACATAAGTCATAACTGATTCATCATTTCAATGGTCCGGGACCAGACTTTATTTTAATTAAAAGGAGATTTTTTTGTATGTTACGTAACACGCGCTCAACTAATGAGTATAATCTACCACTTGCGTTTCTCAATCGGCAAACAAACTTTAAAAGTATGTTTAGTGCTTTATCTGTAAAATTATGCTAAAATGAAGAGATTTTAGATGGTACGCCAAAGACAAAATGATGTCTGAAGTTCAGTAAGTTTTACTTTATATATTGTCGCTGTAAATTTGGCGTCTTTTGACTTTTAAACCGTAATTGGTAGTTGTATTTTAATTGACATTTTTTACTGTTATTTTAAGTTTTTCACTATATACTAGAGAATGAAGCTAGACAAAAGAATTTTGAGTGGTATACGCCAAAATGATTTTCGGTTTTGAACGCTGAAAAAATTCACAGCCGTAACATTGGTTCTACTACTATCTTAATAGATGCATAATGCAGTCACTTGTCGAAGTTGATTGTGCATTTATGCTATCTTATTACCAGAAAACAAATTGAATCATATTTCCTATACAGGCCGAATGTCTCCTGCATCGAATTAGGGTTTGTAACGTTACTCCCGGCAGGATATGGAGTCGGCATTGATTACATACCAGCGGAACATGCCACGCGCGTCAATGCATGTTATATGACACCGCAACCGATTTTCGTCTCGCCAACATTAAAATTTTCTCTTGCGCTATCAAATTGCATACAACGTTTTTAAAAAAGTCCCATATATATATATATTTCATCGTTTTAATATACTGCAGTGGACACGCGCATATCATTCACAAGGTAAGAGTGTTGAGGTTTCTATAACTTGTTGAATGAAATATAATATTTATGATGATATGTATTGCTTAAGCGAATTTGTGATATACTCACCGGATTAATACAGGATCAAAAAATATAGCAAATGTAAAGAAAATATTACAACAATTCGGACATTGTAAGCGAAGGCCTTTCAATGACTTTCGCTCGAAACGTTAAATTCAAGTTATATTTTTGACGCAGTTTCATCCTGTATAATCTTGATCACTCAAGTAGATTTTATTCAACACTGGAATCCAACATTTCAGCAAATCTGTGGTTTGGTAATTTATAAATATTTAACGACTATTCTAGTGTTTATATTATATCGTTTGTTTTCCATTCTTTATATAAATTAATCGAATTATATCTTCTTAAACGTACTATGAATAATTCATGAGCATTCACGTCAAAGGAAATCATCAATCTTGTTGTCTTGATATCAGGATAATAAAGAGCTTATATATTTAGTCAATTTTTGTGTCGTTTTAATACTGGTTCGTTTGACGACTTATACAGTCTTTACTCTTTCTATTCCGAGGGCTGTCTTCTTGCGAAGTAAAATTTTGTCAGACAGGGTAAAGTGATAAAGTTTATACAATATCACCCTTTAGAGTTTCGTGGATAACAGGAAATAACTCTAGGAACATGAAATTGACGAAGAAACCTAAGCTAAACTAAAACTTTATTTATACTGGATAGCTGTATCAGTTCTAAACTGTTCTTCCTAGAGGTCCAGTAAGGATCATCTCTTATTGATCCAGTATTACTACAGGAGGAAACCTAAACTAAACTAACTTTATTTATACTGGATAGCTCTATCAGTTCTAAACTGTTCTCCCTAGAGGTCCAATAAGGATTATCTCTTATTGATCCAGTGTTACTACTGGAGGAAACCTAAACTAAACTAACTTTATTTATACTAGATAGCTCTATCAGTTCTAAACTGTTCTCCCTAGAAGTCCAGTAAAAATCATCTCTTATTGATCCAGTGTTACTACAGAAGGAAACCTAAACTAAAATAACTTCATTTATACTGGATAGTTCTATCAGTTTTAAACTGTTCTCCCTAGAGGTCCAGTAAGGATCATCTCTTATTGATTCAGTGTTACTACAGGAGGGAACCTAAACCAAACTAACTTTATTTGAATCAGTAAAAGCGATAAATTGTGATGGTAAATTGTTGTATAGTAAAGCTCATTCTTATCAATTAACATTGAGGTCATTTCGATTCACACCATTATGCTCTGATCATATCGTTTTGTATCAAATTAACATTGAGGTCATTGCGATTCACGCAATCATGTCTCGTTTACATTTAACTAATAAAGTGTTACCGCTCTGCTCGCTATGATAATAATTACGGACTTATCGCGGGCACTACTGTTAAACCTTGATGTGATAAATAAACATTTAGTTAATATATCGCTCGAAATGACGCTAATCTTTAAGATCACGCTGGTTCATGTTGATTTAAGAAATTCCAAGTTAACATCATACATTGCAACGCATCAATCAATATGCATGCACATGGCCTATTTTGTCGGTATCTCGCTGGAAACATTTGAACCATTTTCATACTTCATCGTTTCCTAGGTTTTCTGGGAAAAAATTTCACGCTTACAATTTGCAAACCTTTTTTTAATACATCATTTCTATAAAATTGCCACAATGTGGAAATGTTTCAAATTTGCTTAGTGAAGCATCAAGATTGAAAGCCCTTCGAATTTGTCATGCAGAGAATTAACAGAACGAAACAGAAAATAGGCAAAGCTACTGTACAGATTAGGTTGTCAGCAGTTTTTGTTCGGAGTTAGAGTTCGGGCTCCCTGTTGGTACATTTTCCCATCTTTAACCCTTTGAGTGCCAGTACTCTCCGCTTGAGAAGTAAAATCACCTGGCGTTAGACAGAATGAAATAATAAATAGGGTGCATTAGGGCGCAATGGAACTTAATGCCTAATGGGTTAAACCTTGTTTTGGCTTAATATTTTTGCTTAATTAAGCATGCTTGTCTCCATAGGATGTCCGCTACCAAAGATAAGCTACAGTAATTTCGCTTCTCAGTCAAATTGTTAAGTGTCTGCGATGTATACACAAAAACCACACCAGTATATACCAATATGCAATGTTTCATGTAGTTGATACATTTTACTGTGCTCATACCATTAAGGGACTTTCATTGCTTTACGAAATGTACATTCTCAAATCTCAATCTGGTTCTTCCAGCCACACGAGCCGAAAATCCTCTTAACTTAAGAATGTAGAAATCTGATCACTCTTTGACCTTCGTTTTTTAAATGATTTCTTGAATTACTTTTGTCTACTTCGTACACGGGGCTATGGTCGCACAGTGCTTAATAAGATAGATCAATAACAGATAATCTTACTGGACTTTTTGGGAGAACAGTTTAGAGCTGATAGAAATATCCAGTGTAAATGACGTTAGTTTAGGTTTCCTCCTGTAGTAACACTGGATCAATAAGAGATGATCCTTACTGGACATCTAGGAAGAACAGTTTAGAACTGTTTAGGTGCATTCTCACTTTCATCCTGAACTAAATTATGTATTTTTCCTTCTCCAAGCCGTTAGAACAAGCGATTGCTGATCATCAGAGTACGGTGACTGCTGTGAACACAACAGGGGATGAGATAATCAAACACTCGAGTGTTGTCGAAGCTGAAATACTCCGAGATAAACTAGACGCTCTGAACAGACGTTGGAAGATTATCTGCAACGAGGTCACTGACAGACGAGAGCGGTAAGAAACCAGAATATACAGCTTGTAGATGTTTGATACAGTGGAAATGCCTGGCAGGAATCCAGCTCTGCTCTTCTAATCTCGAAATAAATAGTGTAGAAACTCCCATAAACTTGTTGGAGATGCTGATTGGGTGATTTCATAGCAACAGGCCATCCCAGAGTAGGTGCAGGGCTTTCAGAGTAGGTGCCTTTGTTGATATAATGGCCAGCTCTGGGGAGGGGGCGGTCTAGGGAGTCTTAAAGTCATCTAAATTAACAAGTGTATATTCATTAAATACCAACACAACTGAGCCCTGTAACTATAAATCACTACATCCATTCTTTAACGAGATAACTTCAAGATTTGAGATGGCAAGTAACTAATTGGTTGTCGAAATGGTCGTGCCTATTTGTCCATGGCTCGAAAATAGCCGTTTTGAAAGCTTCTGCGTTTAAACTCAACGCGTTGTTTGCTTTTTGTTTGTTCAGTTTCCACGAGGAAGATATGGAGTATGAGGAATTTGCTGACGAATGTCGAGATCTCACGCAATGGATGAATGAAGTTGAAGTGACCTTGGCTCAACGCGATCCTTCACCTGCCGATCAAGATGGTCTAAAACATCAACTAGAGAAAGTCAAGGCAAGTAACCAATTTTTATCAAACCGTTGTTGAATATTTAACCATTCAATTGCATTGCGCCCCTTTATTATTTTACTCTGTCTAACGCCAGTTTTAGTTTGGATTTCCTTCTCTAAGAAGAACAGTTTAGAACTGGTAGAGCTATCCAGTATAAATAAAGTTAGTTTAGTTTAGGTTTTCTCCTGTAGTAACACTGCATCAATAAGAGATGATCCTTATACTGGACCTCTAGGAAGAACAGTATAGAACTGATAGAGCTATCCAGTATAAATACAGTGTAAAGTTAGTTTAGTTTAGGTTTCCTCCTGTGGTAACACTGGATCAAGAAGAGATGACCGTTACTGGACCTCTAGGAAGAACAGTTTAGAACTGATAGAGCTATCCAGTATAAATAAAGTTAGTTTAGTTTAGGTTTCCTCCTGTAGTAACACTGGATCAATAAGAGATGATCCTTACTGAACCTATAGGGAGAACAGTTTAGAACTGATACAGCTATCCAGCATAAAATATAAATAAAGTTAGTTTAGTTTAGGTTTCCTCCTGTAATAACACTGGATCAATAAGAAATGATCCTTACTGGACCTCTAGGAAGAACAGTTTAGAACTGATAGAGCTATCCAGTATAAATACAATTAGCTAAAGTGAAAACTGAAAAGCACATTTACTAACTGTGCTAGCAAGATCCCTAATGACCATCTCACTGTGACCATCATTTCAGGATCTCGAGGAAGAGATGCTGGGCAAAGAAGAGACAGTGCGTTCGATACGTAAGACGGGACAACGTCTCCAGACGAAACCCATTCTATCCAAACCATCACAAGAAGATGTCAAACGGCGTATGGAAGCCGTCGAGTCACACTGGCAACGCATCAAACTGGCTGTTCCAAGACGACGAAAGAATATTGATGATAAACTGAGCGATCTAAAGAAATTCACAGAGAATCTTGAGGAACTTTACATCTGGACGTCAACCACGAAAGATCTTCTCGACACTCAGGCTAGCCTTGGCAAGATACATGATGATCATAGGAATGTTGAAGTGAGTTCTGAATAAAAATTGTCTGATAGAAGTACACTGTACACTATGTCGAACGCGGGCTTGCCTCTTTCATGACAAGAACAATAACAACAACAACAACAACAACAACAACAACAACAACAACAACAACAACAACAACAACAACAACAACAACAACAACAACAACAACAACAACAACAACAACAACAACAACAACAACAACAACAACAACAACAACAACAACAAGTTTGCTTGCTATATTTAACCTCTACTTATTTTATTCAGGAAATCAAACGAAACCTTGCCAACAGACGATCAGTCTACGACCAAGTGAACAACACGTATGAGAAATACCAAGAAGAGAGCATCTTGTCAACCAGCGCTATTCCTAGCTCCACACACGAGAAATGGAGAAAAATGAACGCGGAGTGGGGAACAATATCTCGCTATGTTGATCAACCAAGAATGATCATTGAACAACCAATATCTATCACTGGAACTCAAATGGTCTGCTCTACACCTGATATACTTGTAACACACGCTGATGACGGTACGCTGAGATTTGATTTGCTTTTCTGTACTAACTTGTATATCTAGTATAAATGTATAAAATTCATACTCAATATTTCCATCTCCAAAATCCTTCAACGTGAATGAAATTGAGCCGTTCGTAATGATATATATATATTGGTTGATATACTGTATTTTATTACAAGATTTATTCAATGAAAAGGACAATAACATAGTAGATAAAAACTAATAAAATTATGACTAGATTAAGAAGAAGAAAGACAATAAAATATACAGTATTAAAACTTGTTCCGAGAGTCTTTGTCCAACGTAAGAAATGCCGTCTTTAGCCTCGTAAACATAGTAGAGCAGCCTTAATTAAGCTGAAAGAGAGTTTTGTCCTTATCCAAGACATAACAATGGAATATGGTTTTATCTTCTTTGAGTGAGATTTTCTGAGCTAGTAACTTGTGATATGTTGCGCATTCCCCCTATACCCATTGCACTAATATATTGTATTACTTGATGTATACTGTATTCACGTTTTCTCTTGTTTTGTGTATTACAGAAGAGAAGACGACACCGTGGCCGAAGTTCGACAAAGCAGTCTCTGAATTGCATGACTGGTTGTCTCTCGTTGAAGACGTTATCAAGAATCAAAGAATTATGCTTGGTAATGTTGACGAGATGCAGAGACTCACTAACAAACAGAAACAGGTGAGTATTTTAACTATGTAATTTGAAGAAATCTTTTGTCGGATCGATCTTATAAATTGTGCTTCTTTTAAAGTGCCACTAACCCCAAATATGACTTTTCGTATGTGTAATATTTGCGTCATTCTGAGAAGAAATGTAGTATATCTTTATGGTAAAAAAACTTCATCTTGATCAACTTTTTCACTGTCGAAGTTTCCAGACATGATTTCATTAAATGAATTGCAAATTAGTTCACCTTTGTTTTTGCTGCTAAAATTCATAATACCCGCTAATTTGGACTGAATGAGTTGATCAAGAGGAGGTAAAAGTCAGATTAAACAAATGGCACCGCCCGTTGTATAAATTATTGCTTGTCTTTCAGTCTGTGGAAGATGAACTACGCGGAAAACAGTACCTACTCAATGATATCTCTGAAATGAGCTTCAAATTGGAGGAGGAGACTGAGAACGAGTCTCATAAGAACATATTACGTCATCAAATCCAGTCGCTCAAGGAGCATTGGCATAATGTCCAACAGCAATCAAATGATTGGCTCACAAGAATCAACCTCATGTGGGATCTCTCGAGACAATATGAACAGATTAAGAAAGAGTTAGAAACATGGCTTGCCAAGGCTGAGGAGAGATTGAATAAAGCTGAGCGAGGGACTGGGAATACTGTCGCTGAACTTGAACACCTTCTACAGGAGCATAAGGTAGGCTACGCTGATCTCTAAAATAGTTCTGGACTAGCAAAAGTCACTGATCTCTAGAATAAGCACTGGATCAACACAACTCACTGATGTAGTTTTTTGCTGTAAAGTTAGTTTAGTTCAGGTTTCCTCCTGTAGTAACACCGGATCAATAAGAGATTATCCTTACTGGAACTGATAGGGAGAACAGTTTAGAACGGATAGAGCTATCCTGTATAAATAAAGTTAGTTTAGTTTACTGTAGGTTTCCTCCTGTAGTAACACTGGATCAATAAGAGATGATCCTTACTGGACCTCTAGGAAGAACAGTTTAGAACTGTTAGAGCTATCCAGTATAAATAAAGTTAGTTTAGTTTGGGTTTCCTCCTGTAGTAACGCTGGATCAATAAGAGATGATCCTTACTGGACCTCTAGGAGGAACGTACTGTATACTGTATTGTATAAAATGAAGCCAAGGCCCATCCATTGTTAGAAAGCTTGCTCCTTTTATAGAGAATGGTATATTAATGCTATTATTTTAATATTCAGAGTTTCCGTGAAGAAGTGGAAAGCTGGCGAGCTCGTGTTGACAGAATGAATGATCTTGGTGAAGAATTGATCCGAGAGTTTCCCGAACACAACCCGAGTGACATCAGACTCACGTCACATCGTGATACACAACGATACAATAAACTTGTCTCTCGGTACGTAGCATCAGTTTTATATTTTTGAAATATTTAAAACTTCTACAATATAGAAACCCTTAGAGTTTGAAAGATAAACATATACGGTACAGTTGCTACAGGCCATTCGACATACAGTATACACTGGAAACGCCAGAACTACCTTTACAAATAGCAGAACTCCCTTTTCAAATAGCAGAACTCCCTTTTCAAATAGCAAAACTCCCTTTTCAAATAGCAGAACTCTCTTTTCAAATAGCAGAACTCCCTTTTCAAATGCCAAAACTCCCTTTTCAAATGGCAAAACTTGGTTTTCAAATGCCAGAACTTGGTTTTCAAATGCCAGAATTCCGTTTTCAAGTTATGCACATGTTCTGTGGGCTTTACCTAGCTTAACACAAAATATCCGAGAAAAAAATAAAACATGCTTGAGCAAGCTTCGTGTTGATTTTCATTTCTATTTCCTCCCATTTCTTTCAAGGATATCGCAAAGTATTCCCCTGACATAACCCCAATAATGCTGAATAATCAGTAACGCTTTCTTATACATATATTTTCTTTCCCAGTTGTGATGCAAGAAAAGACAAGCTCCAAGAACAGTTGACACGTCTGGTGCAATTCCACGAGAACATAATCTCAGCGCTCACCTGGCTTACCTCAGCAGAGTCAAAGATTGCCGAGTTAGATAGCGCTGTTGACGCTGCTGAAGAACACCCAGATCTTACCTCGTTGAAAGAAGAATTGAAGGTCAGTAGGTTTAAGTGAGCATTTCACAGCAGAAGATGGTGGTCAATCAGGTGTCCCAGATTGGCTAAAAATGCAACATTTGTTACATCATTCTGTAGTCTATACATTTATACATTATCGCACTATTAAGATGGATGCACTTATAATTGCATTTTTGAGCTCATACCTACAGTACAGGTAACACTCTGTCTATTGGTCAGAATTTCCATTTTTATCTAAATTCTAAATTATCTTTTTTTTCTTTTTGGGGAAATATTTTCTCGGACCCATGCTCCGATACTTTTCCACCCTTTACTGTATCCCTCGATTCAAATTATGAAAATGAAAGTTTATGAAAATGTACAAGACTACAGTATTACATATATTTCCCTCCAGGCTCTGGAAAGCGACATCAACGCCCACCAAGACACATTCGCTTCCTTGAACGAAACAGGTCAAGTCGTGATGGCAGATCTCGCACCCAGCGAAGTTCTTACTGCACTTCAATCGAAACTGGACGACATGAACGATCGTTGGAACAGTCTGAACGCACGGTCTGTCGATGTTGGCGATAAGCTTGATGGTGGAGCTACGGAATGGCGACAACTCTTCTCGGACTTACAAGAGATTGTTGATTGGATAGAGAGAGCGATACAGCAGCTTGAAGCTCAGAAACCTGTAGGCAGTGATCTTGAAACTGTCACTCTGCAGAATGATACACACCAGGTGAGAACATTTTCACATTCGAACATGACTCTTACTGGAACTCTAGGAAGAACAGTTTAGAACTGACAGAGCTATCCAGTATAAATAAAGTTAGTTTAGTTTAGGTTTCCTCCTGTAGTAACACTGGATCAATAAGAGGTGTGATCCTTACTGGACCTCTAGGCAGAACAGTTTAGAACTGATAAAGCTATACAGTATAAATAATGTTAGTTTAGTTTAGGTTTCCTCCTGTAGTAACACTGGATCAATAAGAGATGATCCTTACTGGACCTCTAGGAAGAACAGTTTAGAACTGATAGAGCTATCCAGTATAAATAAAGTTAGTTTAGTTTAAGTTTCCTCCTGTAGTAACACTGGATCAATAAGAGATGATCCTTACTGGATCTCTAGGAAGAACAGTTTAGAACTGATAGAGCTATCCAGTATAAATAAAATCAGTTTAGTTTAAGTTTCCTCCTGTAGTAACATTGGATCAATAAGAGATGATCCTTACTGGACCTCTAGGGAGAACAGTTTAGAACTGATAGAGCTATCCAATATAAATAAAGTTAGTTTAGTTTAAGTTTCCTCCTGTAGTAACACTGGATCAATAAGAGATGATCCTTACTGGAGCTCTAGGAAGAACAATTTAGAACTGATAGAGCTATCCAGTATAAATAAAGTTAGTTTAGTTTAAGTTTCCTCCTGTAGTAACACTGGATCAATAAGAGATGATACTTACTGGACCTCTAGGGAGAACATTTAGAACTGATAAAGCTTCCCAGTTTAAATAAAGTTAGTTTAGTTTAGGTTTCCTCCTGTATTAACACTGGATCAATAAGGGATGATCCTTACTGAACCTATAGAGAACAGTTTTTGAAACTGAAGCTATCCCGCATAGAACTATCTATAGTTTAGGTTTCCTCCTGTAGTGACACTGGACTAACGTTTACATTTATTTCCTCAGACATTCAAAAACAAGATGAACATGCAACGTTTGGTTATCGACCGTGCCTTGGAGTCAGGGAAACGTCATTTAGAGAATCACGACAGCTTGCACCCTGCGTCACCATCGCGGGCTCATCTTGCTGATAATCTCCGCGGTCAACTGAGTATAATCAAAGACCGCTGGCCAACACTTGTCAAAAATAGTGACGCTTGGCAGAAAACACTGGACGAAGCTTTAAGAGTATGTTGCTTTGAATGTCTTAGGAGTGTCAGTGTTCCAATGTGTTCCAATTCTGTGGTGTTTTATTGGGAAGGGCCGAGGGCGGGGGTGGGGAGGGGGGCACTTGTTTTTGTCCCAAATTGATTGTAACACTCGCCCTAACTGAATACTGTTTTCAACTTGACAGTTACTTAACTTGCTTGAGAAGAATGTGCATGATCTTGATGTGAAACTTCAGGAAGCTGAGAACTACAGCAATAAGTGGAAACCAGTCACTATTGATATAGCGCAAGATCAGTCCGAAAATATGAAGGTATGAGAGATTAGAGTATACCGCGGATAGCTCTAACAGTTCTAAACTGTTCTTCTTAGAGGTCCAGTAAGGATCATCTCTTATTGATCCAATTAACAATTCACGTGTGTTCTCTAGCATTTCCACAGCATGACTTCTCCTATGCAAGGAATGTTTGATGATGTTGATGGTGTAGAGAACAACTTACGACGATATAACGTCATCCTGCCCTCTCCCTTGCAAAACCGTATCGATGATCTGCACAGACGATGGAAGGAACTGCAACTGAAGATGTTGAATAGAGAGAATGTCATCCAGGAGAATATCACCGAATATGACATGAATATCACTCAGGAACCTTTGCAAGGTAAGGTATAGTACGTCCAAGGCAGACTGTGGCACGATTTCGTGCATGCATCATTGCCTGTATATACAGGGTGTATCAAAAAAAAGGTAATCGAACTTCAGCGCGCTGTTGTATCTGAATTACTCTGCGTATGAACGATATTTTTCACATTTGGAAAGGTCATGCTTTTAGCTGTTGAATGATATCTTCTTCATGCCAAATGGATAAAAAATGAGCAAATACGAATCCGACAAAAAATGTTAGTCAGAATCGCATATTTTCACCGTTGAGAGTTGGGTCTAAAACCATTGAAAATGAACCCCCTTTAGGACTTAAGTTGATGAGTTTCACTTCATTAAACTGCACACATATTCATAATAATTATTAAGTCGGAATAAATCTACGACACGTTCGTGATTAATTGCTTTTTCTTTTGTTATGCATTGTTTTAATTAGGCACAGAGGTGAAAATATGCGATTTTGACTAACATTTTTAATCGGCCTCGTACCTGCTTATTTTTTCTCCACTTGTCATGAAAAGCATGTCACTCAATAGCTAAAATCCCGATTTTTCCGAATATGAAAACCAGTTGTTCATACGCCAAGTAATTCACGTATAATAGCGCGCTGAAGTTCGATTACCTTTTTTTTTATACACCCTGTACATCGCTCCATTTTAGCTTTCTCAGAAAATACTTACAGTACTGTATACACAAACTTTTTAATTCTTGACGTCTTGTTTTACAGCAAGCGTAGTACGACCTTGGGAAAGAGCAATATCTGCTAACAAAGTTCCATACTACATCAAGTAAGTTGATAAACAGTATACTCTAGTGCTTCCCTGTTTTCTTGACAAGCAAATGATTCACAGCGAACAACATTAAGATTGAAAAGCTTCAAACTATTGCGTTGTCATATGAAAATATTATTTTACTTTATATACTATACAACATCCAGAATAGAACTAGATTGTTGCATATTTGTTACTCGTTGTCCCCAAATGGAAGGGTGTGGCATTTCAACTCATAATCTTTCATGAATGACATATAAGTTGTTACATATTTATTGGTTTCAAAATATTTGATTTTCTTACTTCTCATATGGAATAGCCCTGAAACTAAGCAGAACTTGCTTACTCATTGAAGTTTGTTTTTTCAGCCACAAGACGGAGACGACCCAATGGGACCATCCCAAGATGACTGACCTATACCATCAGCTGAGTAAGCTTACAAATGAACATTCTCTATTATATTTGTGTATTGTAGTACCATTTAATTGGATTGTCAGTTGATTTCTATTTTAAATGTTTACGTTTTAGCGGAGTTAAATGATGTGAAATGGAGTGCGTATAGAACTGCCATGAAATTAAGATGTATTCAGAAGGCTGCTGGATGTAAGTTAATAAAGTAGAAAATTTTTATAACCCTTTATACTGGATAGCTCTATCAGTTCTAAACTGTTCTCCCTAAAGGTCCAGTAAGGATCATCTCTTATTGATCCAGTGTTCTACAGGAGGAAGCCTAAACTAAACTAACCTTATTTATGCTGGATAGCTCTATCAGTTCTAAACTATTCTTCCTAGAGGTCCAGTAAGGATCATCTCTTTGATCCAGTGTTACTGCAGGAAGAAACCTAAACTAAACTAACTTTATTTATACTGGATAGCTCTGTCAGTTCTAAACTGTTCTTCCTAGAGGTCCAGTAAGGATCATCTCTTTTTGATCCAGTGTTACTACAGGAGGAAACCTAAACTACAAAACTAAGCACTGTGAGATCACCACACTCAAAATCTCATCTATGTTATTTTCCAGTGGACATGGTTGAAAAGAATGCCGTAGTCGAAGCCTTAGAACGTCACAACATGCATGGCTCTCACGAGGACGTCATTGGTGTATCTGAAATGGTTAAAGTTCTCACTTTCATCTTTGATAAACTGGACGAGAAGGAGAAAGAAGGCATCGATGTTCCGTTATCCATTGATTTCAGTCTTAACTGGTTGTTGAATGTTTATGACAGGTACATATGAACTGAGGTTATTTCTATACTACTCTAGCTGTCCACTTTTGTGTTGCAATACTGGTAGGCATGAAGGTAAACCAAGCCCAATTAACCTGTTAAGTGCAGTGTTACAGTATTATACTGTAGAAGGAAACCTGAGTTTGGTAGTGTCGAACTGGAGGCATTGAGATGAAATTATAATGAGACAACTTCATGTTGCAAGAATCAAACCTCAGTCACAGTGAAACTATGGTTCATAAAAATATTTTCTTAACTATGCACGCGTAGATTTTTAGGTTTGCTGTTTCCAAGAAATATTTGACCAAAATTTTTGTATTTCTAGTGGCCGTATTGGAAAAGTCCGTGAATTGTCTTTCAAGATCGGTTTGATCAGCATGTCCCAAGGACCATTGGACGAGAAATATAGATGTAAGTGTCCAGTATATCTCTACAATATAACACGCCCAACAATACAATATCCAACGGTCAGTGTTGGTAGAGTTGTACTGTATTTTTCAGGTACTGTAGATCTATGCTTCGCAATCCACAGTTATACTGTAACAATATAATAGCATGAAGTTTATCTTGTTTCAATAAAAAAAAAGTATAAACACGCTGGACGTTTCTAAAATAAAGAAAATTGCCCTGAGTTAGCTAAGCATTGAATATACATAGCTGTATCAAACTGCGATCGAAAATATTTTTGGCAATAGCCTTGCAAGTTTCTTTAAGATGTTTTGAAATCGTTCTGAATTGTCTGGTAGGATTTTATAGTGAAGAAAAATGTCATGACAGAAATTTATATATTTTCATTTATTCTCATATAAACTGCGTATACAGGCAACTTATTATCTTGTACTCTATTTTCAGATCTATTCTCTCTCGTGGCCGACCAAACTAACCATGTCTCTCCAAAGAAACTGGGTCTTTTGTTACATGATCAGCTCCAAGTATGTTTATGTCTGCCGTTTCCTTTATGCAGTCTACTGAATTTAATTGCGCAAGAGATGTTATGCAGGCTAAAGTTTTGTCTTTATGTTTTGAATGTATGTTTTAAAATTTCTCACGGTATAGATTCCAAAACAACTCGGCGAGGCTGCAGCGTTTGGTGGCAGTAATATTGAACCTAGTGTGAGGAGCTGCTTTGAGCGGGTATGTTAACTATTTTGTAAACTAAACTATACTAACTTTAGTCTGCATGCTCTGTCTAAATCATAGTCTTTGCGTAAAGGCTGTTCATTGCTTGTCAAGTGTAACTACAGAAGGAAAACTAAACCAGCATTATTGATGCTGCTGTAGCTCTATCATTTCTTGCGGTGTTTGACCACAGTTAATAGAATACGTGGTTTGGAGACTCGATGAAAGTACAATATAACTCATTAACTATGTTGGTTTCGGTTTATGCAAGAATTTGGGCCTATCTCGTCACGTGTGTATTGTATTTTTTCCCGCACAACCAATAGCAATGTTTAAATTGAGCGTTTGTTCAAGCTACGGATGGATAACTCAACCACAAACTTGTTATAGGTTATTTGAGCGAAAATACAATATACACGTGACGAGATAGGACCAAATTCTTGCATAAAGCTGGACAATAACATACTGTAGTTAATGAGTTGTATTGTACTTTATACGAGTCTCCAAACCATCTATTAAAATAACTGTGGTTTGACTGAAAGCAAACTGGAAGCACTCTTCTCACAAGTGACTGAGGTGAAATTATAATGAGACAGCTGCGCATTGCAGAAATCAAACCTCAGTCACAGAGATGAAAAACACATTCACTACATAACCACTATGTTTCCAGCAGCCCTTGCTAAAGAAGTGATTAAGGTTATAAAAGGATTAAGGATTTACTAAACCGTATCTTCTTAGGCAAAGAAACCAGACTCGATCGCTGCACAACAGTTCATGGATTGGCTTGAGAAGGAACCACAAAGTGTGATATGGATCCCCACCTTGCATCGTCTCGCCAGTTCTGAGAGCGTGAAACATGAATCAAAATGTCAAATCTGTAAAGAATATCCTATCGTTGGTCTTCGCTTCAGATGTTTGAAATGTTTCAATTATGATATTTGTCAAAGTTGTTTCTTCTCTGGACGGACATCGCGAAATCATTATGTCACCCATCCTATGCACCAGTATTGTCTGTCGGTAAGAATGTCTAATATACCGCAAACCTTTCTCTTAAATCGCTCTCTTGAATAACAAAAAAATCACTCTCTAATACGCTTCCTCTGTAATAAGCCCCCTCTCCAATAAACCCCACCACCCTCTAATAAGCCACCCTCTCTGATGAGTTCCCTCCCTAATACGCTCTCTCTCTAATAAACCTCATCCTCTAATAAGACCCCTCTCTAATAAACCCCACCACTCTCTAATAAACTCCACCACCCTCTAATAAACCCCGCCACCCTCTAATGAGCCACCATCTTTAATACGCCCCTCTATAATGAACCACACTACTCTCTAAATAAGCCACCCTCTCTATAGCCTGCGTAGCAGGCGGTAGAAGCTAGAAATACCGCCTGCCCAAAAACTACACATTATGAGTTCCGCCCACCGCATGGTCCCGCCCATCTTAATGTATTTTATATATTTTAATTATTTGTCAAACTCACGTATTTACACCAGTGCAAATATACGGCTTTGACGTTTCATATCTTCGGTTCATTCAATGCTATGAAGACAAAAATACCACGTTCGATTCAGTGTAACAATATGTCCTCATTCATAGCGATAGTTTTAGTCGATGTCAACATTATAGCGATTTATGAGCTTTGAAAGTCAAGCGAGTTCGTGTATTATAAATTACGCAATTGTCTGAACAAAAATATAGACTAGCCATACCTTTCGCCGAACACAACTTCGGCCCCTTCAGACGTAACTTTGTAATAGGCTTGTTCCAATCGCTATCAAAAACACAACTTAGAGTGTCATTTACGAGCCTGTATCTTCAAATCTGCACTTTTATCACGGTATCACATCTTCAAGCAACAAATGTTGGATTGATATTCGTTGTTCATTCTTCAAGACGAAGCGATTTCCGATTCCAGATAAAGATTAAAGAATTCAACGCTTAATTCTCAATTAATACATTCGTTATCTTTTGGTTAGTGTATGCCATCACTCGATATATCGGTATCAATTACGAAAATAACAATAGTTTATATTATAAATACGGCAACAGTAACTGCTAAAATTATTAACAAACCTCCTCTTCTCTGAAGATTAAGTCAAAAACGTTAGGCTGCTAATACTAAGTTGAAAGGAAATGTTTGTATTGTAGACAACAGGACCAGAAGACGTGAAGGACTTCTTCAAGGTCGTGAGAAACAAAGTGAAACCACGCAAGTACAAGAACAAACCTCCCAAGCATCTTGGATACCTGCCTGTGCAGACTGTCATGGAAGGAACCAATCTTGAAACACCTCAATCTCCACCACCTGGTCATAATCAAGACATGCATAATAAACTGGGCTTGTATGCTAACCGGTAAGCAATGATTTTACACATCCTGACCACAGAAGATGGATGTATTTTACACCGTCAAAGTGATCACAGTAACAATTTTGCGTACAGTAGCGAAATTCTAAGTTTTGAAGGATTCGTAACAAATGTTTGAATGTCTGTTTAACCCTGATTCAGTTTCCTCAAACATTTCTTACAAATCCTTCAAAACTTAAAATTTACCCATGCAAAATTCCTACTGTGATCACAGAAACTTTGATAGTGTTAATCAGACTTTAGCTTTTGAAGTTATCATCTCATAAAACAACAATATTTATAAAATTAATTAATCATTTGTAGGCTGGCTGACTTGGAAGCAAATGCAAACTTCAAGACACCTCAGAAGAAAGGCAAGGGGTAAGTATATTAAAAAAATTAAATATGGAAGAAATGCAATAACATAAACTAAACTTGATTTGCACTGGATAGCTCTACCGAGTTCTCCCTAGAGTTCAAGAAGGATCATCTTTTGTTGATCCAGTGTTACTACAGGTGTTTGGTAGAGTCAAACTGGAAGAACTCTTCTCACATGAAAATGAGGTGAAATTATAATCAGCAACTGCATATTAGAGAGGCTCAGATTTCCGTTATCCTACCACTGAGTAATCAGACGCGATTCGCAACCTAAACTCCTGTTTAAATTAAACTATTGCTAGTAAAATATAACGCGTCAGGCTTTACACTCTTGCAATGCAACAACCTTCCAATTTCTGCTTTTGTTGTATCAATGTATTTTGTACTTTAAAACTTTAATTTTATTTAACTTCCAGTAAAGCTAACGGCGATGTATATGATGAGCATAAGCTAATAGCACGATACTGCAAGAGGTGTGTGCATTAATATCACGGTAAAATAACTAAGCTACCCTGGTTTACTGTCGTTCCAATTGAAGTGTTGCTCAAATATTGATTCAATACATTACCTCGGGCTGACCAATTCATTTCATCAAGTTCCTCAAGATATTCATACACTTCCCAGTATAATTGTAAACTTCCTGTTGAATAGTTTGAATGCACCAATCACCTTTGTCGTTTGTGCAACTAACCAATCATAAATAGAAAGGAAGTGACCAGAAATGATCAAATACTTGGAATTGGCTCTTTCACAGGAAGTGTATGAATATCTCGAGGAACTTGATGAAATGAATTGGTCAGCCCGAGGTAATGTATTGAATCAATATTTGAGCAACACTTCAATTGGAACGACAGTAAATTCATTCTAACAAAAAAGTTATTAATATATGTTAAATTTTATTCAATTTTTACTGAAATGTGAAATACGTTGCCAAGCAAAAATTTCAACAAAAATATCTAGCATATGCAAATAAATATCAAACTATACAATGAAATATACTCATAAAAGTTACTGCAAATTACTGAACCAATCTTTTAATAAATTAAATAGTGAATTACAGTATAACTTTGATATTAAATAGTGATTTATAAAATACAGTTACAGAAGCATATATAACCGCAGGCAAATATCAAAATATTTTAAGTATTTTAAAATTTAAAGTATTTTAAGAACGGCGTACCAAATAAAGACAAGATCCCCTAATACAACCGCAACTGATTTTCAATCACAAATGAATGTTAGACGTATACTGTATACTATACCTAGGTCAATGTGATTCTTCATAAACATACATGTAGTAGCGTGTTTCAAAATTGACCTTAAATTTGTAATTTGCGCTCCTATTTTAATCTTAATATTTTGTTGATTTATTTTATAGCCTGGAGCCTGGAAGTGCAGCCAATGTAAGTCGTGTATTTTGTCTATCTTTATGAATTATGTATTGTCAATTGGGATGCCGTGATATTACTTTAAAAAGTAGAAATTGAATTGTACGGTTAACGGTTCTTGTTTAGCAACCGCGAAGCCCGACTCAGATCCTCATGGAACTCGCCGAAGAAGAAAAAGAAGATCTGGACAAGTCCATCGCTGATTTGGAAGATGAAAACAAGTAAGATTTCATTTTCTAGATCGAATACACTTTACTGCTTAATGCGCTTTTGCCGTAAAGGGCTTCGTTTGACTGTTTTACAGTAGCATGACACAGACATGAAAGCTATATGTTTCTCTTTGATCTTGAGCACAATCACAAGCCTATCCTTAACCCTATTGCGCACAAACATGAGAAAATAACTACTATACATTAAAACAAGGGTATTTTACTATTATAAGGGCAAGTCTATTAAAGTCTATATTTGCTCAAGGCTATTAAGGAAAAACAAGGCTATTAAAGTCTATATTCGCTCATCCATCGATATAAGTACATTGAGTAAAGAGCTGTATGAACACATTGTAGTCATGCCTGGAATTTCTCTAAAACCTTTCCACAGCAGTGACGTCAAAATTGCCAGCGCCTCTCCACAGCAATTTTTTCCAATTCTACCACAGAAGCCCAGGTTCTGAGTGTCGCCCGCATCCAGGGGGTAGACCCAGAGCATGGGTTTTCTGTGGTAATATCTTATATTCACAATACCTCCTACCTTTTCATTGTGATCACAGATATGTTGTAACCATTACTTTGGCATTTGATTTTAGGGTCCTCCTTGAAGAACTGAATCAGTTGAAGTCATTGACCACGAGCCGTGATAACTCCCCCGCGGGACAGGATCGTGAGAATGACGTCATGAATGAGATCAAGTTACTACGTCAGCATAGAACACGTCACGAGTCACGTGTCAAAGTATTGGAAGATCACAACAGACAACTCCAGCAACAGTTGGCGAAACTGAAGCAATTGCTTGAACAGGTACTATTATACCTAAACTAACTTCCTAGAGGTCCAGTAAGGATCATCTCTTATTGATCCAGTGTTACTACAGGAGGAAACCTAAACTACTGTAAACTAACTTTATTTATACTGGATGGCTCTATCAGTTCTAAATTGTTCTTCCTAGAGGTCCAGTAAGCGTCATCTCTTGTTGATCCAGTGTTCTACAGGAGGAAACCTTTAAACTAAACTAACTTTATTTATACTGGATAGCTCTATCAGTTCTAAAGTGTTCTCCCTAGGGATCCAGTAAGGATCATTTATTATTGATCCAGTGTTACTACAGGAGGAAACTTAAACTAAACTAACTTTATTTATACTGGATAGCTCTATCAGTTCTAAACTGTTCTTCCTACAGGTCCAGTAAGGATCATCTCTTGTTGATCCAGTGTTACTACAGGAGGAAACCTAACCTAAACTAACTTTATTTATACTGGATAGCTCTATCAGTTCTAAACTGTTCTCCCTAGAGATCCAGTAAGGATCATCTCTTATTGATCCAGTGTTGCTACAGGAGAAAACCTAAACTAAACTAACTTTATTTATACTGGATAGCTCTACCAGTTCTAAACTATTCTTCCTTCAGTGTTACTACAGGGAGGAAACCTGAACTAAACTAACTTTTTTTTTCTTTTCTAAATAATTTTCTAGCCATCTGAAAGATCTGGCTCCCGCATGACACCTGCATCCTCGGCTGGCTCGGTCAAGAAGCCTGGATACCAAGCTGAATCTACCGCGAGTGAAAGTGATAATGACGCTGACAGACAACCGCTGGTCGGAGGTGGTGACCGCGGTGTACGAGACCCAGAACTGCGTGACGTCATGGATAAAATAAACACGTCTTTTCCACATGACGGAGGTATGTTCAAGAAATACACGCGTAAAAAAACGCACAAGTTGTTACAGGTCTGCAAACAAGTTGTTACAAATCTGTTCACAAGCTGTCGACAAGTTGTGTTCGCACTGCTTGTTCCCAGTTGTTGTAACATGTTTGGAACAAGCTGTTAACGACTTGTAACAAGCTTGATGGCATTATCAGACTTGTTACAAAATTGTTCCAACAAGTCTGATACAGTCATGATATAACAAGAATGTTACAAGGTTGACGACACAAGGTTGTAACAATATTGTTCTATCATGACTGTATCGGACTTGTTGGAACAACCTTGTAACAAGCGCCTGATAATATCAACATGGTTGTTACAAATTGTTCACAGCTTGTTCCAAACTTGTTGACAACTTGTGACAAGGGGTGCGAAGACAACTTGTTGACGGCTTGTTGACAAACTTGTTACAAGATGTGATATTTTTGCGTTCGATGTGAGATGTTCTATTCATTGAGATGGCCAATATTTATAATATTTTTATAATATTTTTAATATTATTTAGGGTCTCACAGAGACACGTCAAAACAACCGTTAATGGACGAAGAACGATGATTCACTTTTAAAAACTTTACACAGTGTAGTTAGGATTTAGGAAAATACGCTCTTTTTAATCTTACGTTATATATTCTTGTGTTTTGTCAACCTTGTGGACATTATAATATGTAATAGGGTATTAATGTTTCATATAACCCGCTTAAGATGTAACACATTTGATATTTTGAGTATACTAAGATGTAACTTCTTTCTTTATATAACTTAGTTTTTTATAATAAATACTTGCATAGCAGAATTTTAATGTTCCTCTAAACTAAAAACTAAACTAACTTTATTTATACTGGATAGCTCTATCAGTTCTAAACTGTTCTTCCTAGAGGTCCAGTAAGGATCATCTCTTATTGATCCAGTGTTACTACAGGAGGAAACCTAAACTAAACTAACTTTATTTATACTGGATATCTTTATCAGTTCTAAACTGTTCTTCCTAGAGGTCCAGTAAGGATTATCTCTTATTGATCCAGTGTTACTACAGGAGGAAACCTAAACTAAACTAACTTTATTTATACTGGATATCTTTGTCAGTTCTAAACTGTTCTTCCTACAGGACCAGTAAGAATCATCTCTTGTTGATCCAGTGTTACTACAGAAGGAAACCTAAACTAAACTAACTTTATTTATACTGGATATCTCTATCAGTTCTAAACTGTTCTTCCTAGAGATGAGATCCAGTAAGGATCATCTCTTATTGATCCAGTGTTACTACAGGAGGAAACCTAAACTAAACTAACTTTATTTATACTAGATACAGCTCTATCAGTTCTAAACTATTCTCCCTAGAGGTCCAGTAAGGATCATCTCTTATTGATCCAGTGTTACTACAAGAGGAAACCTAAACTAAACTAACTTTATTTATACTGGATAGTTCTATCAGTTCTAAACTGTTCGCCTTAGGCATTCTAATGGATTATTTAGCGGATTTCTTCTATAATGCGAAACAAATAAATAATCCAAAAACAGAAACATGCATTTTACGAGTCCGTCGTCTGATGTCGAAGTAAAACTTAAATCACTTATATGGATACTAACATGACGTATTTCGAATATTGGCACATGGGACAATATGGCTGCCGCAGGAGAACAAGAATTATCTCAAATGTCTTGTGATGATTTCACTGAATTTAAGGTCAGGAAATATTTATTTTTTCTTATTTTATGCTAATTTATAAACAATACTACCTTAGCTACATTATAGCAGTGAAATTTTAATGTCCGTTTGAGTTTATAAACCCTCTTAAAATCCGTCCTAGAAAAATGGCATTGGGCCATAATGGCCATTTGCCCATTGGCTGTACAACATATTTGTCTACTCGCTGTAAAGTTTTGGGGGAAATTAATTTCCAGTTCAAAATTTCTTGCAGTAATGAAAATCTGCGCAAAAGTTGTCAAATTTTAGAAAAACTGCCAAAAATTTCTTAAGACAGACTGAAAAGTTTTATTTACTTTGCACAGGAAATATTTTTTCTATTGGGAAAAGCTAGTCGCAGAGCTGATATATTGGACATTTTCTCAAAAAAGTATGGCAGACTAGCACATCCTGCAGTCAAAAAGCATTTTTGTGTAATAGGAGGATCAGAAATCTTCTTGGTTCTTGGTTGACAAAGGCATTTTGTGCAGATAATATTGAGCATAGATCGAGCCATTTGATTTCTATGCAGCAAGCAACCCGTCTTTTGAATGGTAATAGGAAATTTATACATGTAAGATGGTGACGTCAGGACAACGGCTATCAATACAATCACATTAATGCTATAGCAAAAGTCCAGCGGGATTTTAAACGTCGTCCAAGCTCATATTTTCACGTCTCACATTTTCACAGCTGTTGACCGGCCACTATCTTACATGCATAAACATCCTTAATTTCTGCTGTTTGCAACAGGGAGTGACCGAGATATACACTGTCAAAGCAAACTATTGCTTCCTTAAAGCTTGCTTACATATAAAATTTCCATGGATCATAAAAAAAATTTCCAAAATTATCAGGAAGAATATTATCCGACCAAAATGAAATGAATTTTTTGTTCTTTTTTTCTAGGAAGCGTTGAAAGTTTTACGATTACTAGATGATAAAATTATTTACAGATTGAATAAAAGTGTTCCGACAACTTCATTCGCTGATGAAATAAATGCTGAGAATAAATGTAAAGAATTATATACAGAAGTATGTTTGTCTATGTATTGTATGTTTGGAGACTATATGTTTGTGTTTCTGGTTCATACTCAATATCAATTCTACACATCGAGTGCCAGTACTCTCCCCTTGATGAGTAAAATTGTCTGGCATTAGACAGAGTAAAATGATAAAGTACGATCCAACGCAACTGAAAGGGTTCTAACGCTTCGAACTTTTTACATTTTGCAGTTAGTAAGCGCATATTCAACACGGGAGAAAGCTGTGAAGAAATGTGTCATACAAGTATCGTCCACGATACAGAAATTACAAGAGAGACGAGAAGTTGATTCTGATAATCCAGACATTTTAAGACATCTTAGAAACGAACAGACTAAGGTAAATCTACAGACTATAGGTCTAAATACATTGCCAGTTAGATTTTTTGAAATCCTTTTATTTAATACCGCTCACCTTGGCTATAGAGCCATAGGTGCCGTACAGTACATTCTGGAAGTGTGCATTTCATGCCTCCAAAAGGTATTTAATAAAAAGCGATAGAAAAGTCTAATTTCAAGTACTTGTCACTCATGTGGGTTTTGTTTTTTTAAAGCTGCGACTAATGCGGTCGGAATTAAATGTAGAAGAGGTTGTTCAACAACGTAGTTTAAAGGTATGCATCTTGTATAATTGCTTGGTATTACTACTGTACGTATTTCTTTCCTGCCAGAATTAACCTATAGTTAACCCATTGAGCACCAGCCCTCTCCCCTTGATGAGTAAAATTGTCTGGCATTAGACAGAGTAAAATATAATAATATAGGGTGCAGCTGGAAATCGAACCGAGTAACTGGTTTAGCCCACAAAGCTGCGCCCTACCTTATTACCTTACTCCGTCTAACGCCAGGCAATTTTACTCATCAGGGGCGAACACCGGCTCTCAATTAACAAGTGAACATACATTATTTTCCCAAGGTCTTCAATGAAAAATGTTGGAAAGTTTTTAAGCCGCCATCACTTTGATGTAACATGATTGGGTAAAACCTTAACTTATATTTTGATAGAAAATAGAAATAAAATTTTATTTTGAAAAGAACCACTTTTGGTTTTATAATGTATTGCTCGGAATGTACAACTATTTACTGTCGTTCCAATTGAAGTGTTGCTCAAATATTGATTCAATACATTACCTCGGGCTGACCAATTCATTTGATCAAGTTCCTCGAGATATTCATACACTTCCTAGTATAATTGTAAACTTCCTGTTGAATAGTTTGAATGCACCAATCACCTTTGTTGTTTGTGGAACTAACCAATCATAAATAGAAAGGAAGTGACCAGAAATGATCAAATACTTGGAATTGGCTCTTTCACAGGAAGTGTATGAATATCTCAAGGAACTTGATCAAATGAATTGGTCAGCCCGAGGTAATGTATTGAATCAATATTTGAGCAACACTTCAATTGGAACGACAGTAATTTGCTTTTACTTCGAAACGTCGAAGTTCTGATTGTATTTTTCAGGCAGTTGTAGCTCTCACAAACCAAAGCTGTCTTGTCGTCGCTACCTACACTGGCCCAGACCGTTCGAGATATATTTAATGCAACTTCTACGTAAATGTTGTAAACAACTTGTAAAGTGAATCAGTTCATATGCAGTACATGTAGAAACAAGTGATGTTTGTAATTAGCATTTTAAGTACTCATGCCTATACCGGTAATGCATCTAATATGTGGTCTACGAGGCTATATTCTTGTGACTAATCTTTTAAATTTGATCGGATACAAAGCTATAGTCTATCAATGTAACACAACTACAGCTTTGAAATAGTTTAAATTAGGTTTATTTGCCATTTTGAACATCAATGAATGTATAATGTGTTAAAGTTCCCTAAACATTAAAAATATTCAATTTCATCATCGGCAGTCTTGTTCAGTTGTATGCCACTGAGCTCTGCTGGCTGTCCAGTGTGCGGCAGAGGTTGATACACACGGAGATGAACATATTTGTCACAACCTACATCAACCTGAAAAAAACCCAGTTATAGTTAAAAAACAGTTATTGTCATTATCCAGTATAAATAAAGTTTATTTTAGGTTTAAATTAGTTTATAGTTTAGGTTTCCTCTTGTAGTAACACTGGATCAATAAGAGATGATCTTACTGGACCTCTAGGAAGAACAGTTTAGAACTGATAGAGTTATCCATGCAGTATAAATAAAGTTAGTTTAGTTCAAGTTTCCTCCTGTAGTAACACTGGATCAATAAGAGATGATCCTTACTGGACCTCTAGGAAGAACAGTTTAGAACTGATAGAGTTATCCATGCAGTATAAATAAAGTTAGTTTAGTTCAAGTTTCCTCCTGTAGTAACACTGGATCAATAAGAGATGATCCTTACTGGACCTCTAGGAAGAACAGTAAGAGATGAACCTTACTGGACCTCTAGGAGGAACAGTTTAGAACTGTAGAGCTATAAAGTTTGTTGAGTTTTGATCAGAACTACCATATTACCTTGACAAAATAATTTGTTCCAGCAACAACTTGACTTTTAAATGATATTGCTTCATATTTCTCAAATGTCTGGCCTGCTTTGGTTTCTGCAGCAGAACGGACCTAAAATTCATGCAAGAATATTTAGCTTTGATATGATTGAACATTGTGATATCTAAAGATGGTATAGCAGTTTTCCTTCACCGGAAAGTAATGGTGTGTAAGATGTGATATAATGGGTAAATATGAATGCCAGGGTGGTGATTACATTGGTTCCCCAAAATACCAATTTATGGAAAGAGGTTTCTGATGACAATTGCATAACACTGCCTGAAGCCTTTAGCACAGTCTAGTTTCACCCTTGAGGAGTAAAACTGTCTTGCATTAGACAGAGTACAATGGGAATATTAGGTAGTCTTGTTAACCCATTGAACTGAATTGCCCACCACTTTCCTTCCGAATAACATTATCTATGGTATTAGACAGAGTAAAATAACAAAGGCACATTAGGCTGTGTTGCATGTTTAACCCATTGAGTGACAGCACTCTCCCTTTGACAAGTAAAAGTATCTGGCATTAGACAGAGTAAAATAATAAAATAAAGTGCCTCTTGAGTGCATTGCCAAAGGTTAAGTGCTGTTTATATGAGGCAGGAAGCTGCAAGACATTCTTAAAACAAAGTTGATAGAAATCTTCTATTTAGATTAGTTGTAAAATTGTCTTTCTTAGCTCTCAGCTGCAAGGATAATTACCACATTACAGCCCCTCAAATATATGGGTTATATCAGCTTATGGTATCAAACCATATCAAATATCATTGGGTCTTCCCTTGTCTGGGGTTTACACTGGATATGATTTTATAACCCAGAAAAAACTAACTACAACTTTAACGCTCAAATCAGTTACTGTAAGATTGTGGACAAAAACATTAGTTATAATGATGCGATTGGCGTCAAGATAAGCACATAACTAGCCTTGTCTAGGCATGTGAAAATCAAACATTTCTACTAACCGAATCAATAAGCTTTTGTGTCTCTGCCGTAGCTTGCTTTTTTTCGCCTAAACCACCACACATTTGACCTGACATCGTAAAATTTTCTCGCAATTTTCTTTTCAAAGACAAAGGGGCTGAAAATAACAACTGTTTTTTTCAGAATCACGAGATATTTGACAGGTATGTAGGGGCAATTGATAAAACTAGAATAGTGAAGCGAATAGTGCGAATAGTGCGAATAGTCGACGAATAGTACGAATAGTCCGCGAATAGTCGACGAATAGTGCGAATAGTCCGCGAATAGTCGACGAATAGTGCGAATAGTCCGCGAATAGTCGACGAATAGTACGAATAGTCCGCGAATAGGCGACGAATAGTACGAATAGTGCAATAGAGACTTTGCAAGGCTTTGCAGCAGTGCTGTAGAACTAAATTTACCGGGGGGGGGGCTCTGTTGACAAACATGAAATCGTGAAAACATTCGTCGACGTACGTCAATGACGTCATACGT